TCCACAGCCCAGGTGTTGTCCAAAGGGTCGCGGCAACGATAGTGTTTAAGCTGGTCATGATGGACTACTTTCACCTTGGTCCTTGGGCTCTTCTGAATGCAATAAACCAGGTCGTCCAGCTGCCCCACAATGAAATAGGACCCTTCATACGAGGGAAGGAACTTTGACTCTGTTTCTGATCTTCCGTGTGCCTTTGATGAAATACCACACAGCATCACCAGTTTGATACTGTGTGTGGCAGCAGTTCTTGTCATATTGTCTTTTTGCGTGTTTCACTGACTCACCGAGGGCATCCCTTGCGATGAGGTGTGCCAGCTCCAACTGCTCTCGAAGCTGCTGTACATACTCCGGGCCTGTAGGTGCACTGTGGGGGTCAGGCGGCAGGCCAGTCACAAGATCCACAGGTTCACTTAGTTCTCGGCCAAACATCATGAAGTTGGGAGTGATGCCAGTAGCGCTGTGTTTTGAAGCTCTGTAGGCCATAACAGCATACGGAATCATGAGATCCCAGTCCCAGTGGCAACGTTCAGCTGTGGTGGCTAGAGTCTTCTGTAAAGTGGCATTAAACCTCTCCACCTGGCCGTCTGACTGTGGTCTGAATGGTGTAGTGTGTGTTTTCTCAATACCAAACAGACTGCACATTTCCTTGAACACTTCAGATTCAAAGTTGCGGCCTTGGTCACTATGCAGTGTCTGCAGTGCTCCAATACTTCAGCTACAGTCACAGCCTGGTCGTTGGGCAGGGGGAAAGCTTCCACCCACTTGGTAAAGTAGTCATTGACCACAAGCACATACCGATTTCTCCGTTCTGTTTCGTTCAGTGGGCCCGCGATGTCTAGGGCCATACGTTCCATTGGTGCTCCCACTCGAACAGTTTGCATGGGGACTTGCGGTGTCTTAAGGGGTCTGGCTTTGGATGCACAGCTGGTGCAGGTGCGGCACCAAAGAGCCACATCCTCCCTCATCCGGTACCAGTAATATCGGGTCTGTAGTCGTGTCACAGTGCATTCCATGCCAAAATGTCCACAGGTCTTTCATGCATCTGTCTCATGATGTCTGACTGGAGGCAGTGTGGCAGCACTATCTGTGGATAAAACTGAGTGTCATCCAGGCAGTAGAACCGCCGGACTAATATTCCATCTCTAATGTAGAGCCGCTTCCACTGGCTCCAGTATGTCTTTGTGGCTGGACTACAAGATGAAACGGTGACCCACTGAGGACGTTCCCTGCTATCCTCCATCCATGCTTTGATTGGTGATATGTCTGGGTCAGCCTCTTGGGCTTGGCGGAGCCCCTCTGTGGTCCAGCCCGAAAACAGTGAGGTCTCATTTGTTTTGGTGAGGTAAACTTTCTCATTAAGCTTTAAATGGTTTGTGCTGATAGGTAAGGTGTCACTTACCCCCACTGGGCTCACTGGTGCTGAATCTGGGTGTCCTTCTACCCCCACTGGGCTCAACATCACAGTGTTGATGTCTGAGTCCAACTCACACTGTACAGCTTGGTGGCGTACTTTCTCTGGTTGAGAGGGGGAGCTGACAGTTTACAGGGGCAGGACTGATGGCAGGGGCCTTCTGGATAGGCTATCAGCATTGCTATGCGGGCGGCCAGGGCGGTGGATTATTTCAAACTGATACTCTGCGAGTTTCTCGAACACCCAAATTTTGTTAAGCAGATGCACAATCCTCGTTTGTTCAGTCCAGATAAGAGGATCCAGGCTGCCATTACTGTAAAAGTCCATCAGGTTATACCCCAGTAGTAAACACATAGCAGTACTAGTATGCTAGAGGTGACTAAACAAAACCCTGAGAAATGCATTAATAGCACCCATCACACAGGGTGTAACTTAATCTGAGCTGTATTATAAGGCAATATGAGCTTAACTAAAACCACCAAACATCATCAAAGTTTCTTTCATAAACAATAAACACAGAGTAGGCAAGATACAGGTTTGAACATATAAGAAATAAAGCTATCATTTAACTTGACCACCACTAACAAAAGTCAGTTGTTGTTTGAGTTCATTGAATGCAACCTGATGTTCTGCTGTCCCCATGAAGTCAGCTGTCGTTTGAGTTCATCGAATGCAACCTGATGTTCTGCTGTCCCCTGAAAACGTGCGTGTTTCTTCGTTAAGGCGTGGAGGGGCTCAGCTATGGTAGCAAAGTCTTTTACGAATCTCCTGTAATATGATGCAAGGCCAAGAAACCACCTCACCTCTTGTAGGAACGTTGGGGTCGGCCAGTCCTGCACCTTCTGGACTTTGTTGGGATCTGTAGCCACGCCACACTCAGACACTAGATGGCCCAGACTGCTCACCGGTTATTCACATATGTGGTCAGTGCACCCTCTACGCCATTCACGTAACACAGTGTTAACGTTTTTGAGCTGTTAGAGGTCTGGGTCAATAAACAGAACTGAAATATAAAGACACGGCCAAAACAAAGTGTAGTTCAGGTGTAAATTAATGTGGTAATGTTAATCTGAGCCGAGCATTGTGTGGGTTTAAAATGGAAGTGAATGTGAGGTCGTGCTTTAGGTCAGAGTTGTGTAACTTCTGTTGGTAGTCGACCACACTGAGTGTATTTAAAAGCTGCAGCAGCTCTGTTTTTATAAATGGCATCTTCAGACGTGTGAACAGACAGAGCAATGTGGTTTAACTGTCGCTCATTAATATGCTGTTTTATTAAAAATAACAGTGGTGTATGGAAACAGTAATGCACAGTTTTTTCCTGTTTTCACAATAATTTAGTTAAAATTTGCACTAAATTTGGATGGAAACTGGGCTGGTTGTTATGAAAGTTAATGCACATTTAGAAATGCCAAACTGCTTTTGGATAAACGCAGCGTATAACAAGCTCTGCTACTTTAATTACACGTTGTACAGAACCTTTTATTTAATCAGGCGATCTTAATGAGGTCCTGATCTCATTTGTAATAGAGATCTGAGTACAGCAAAAAGAAAAGGGAAATAAAAACATCCAGCCAGATATTTTAAAAGCAGATACACCGTGACAGTATCGCAGACAAACAGATTTGAGGCTGAAGAGTGGAAATGCTCAGTACAAGGCAGTAAAATGCAAACAGTTTCATGCTCAGTGCCGAATAGGAAAAATGGATCGATAACAATCTGTGAGCCACTGACTCATAGCAGGTGTTGGACATCATCAGCAAATCTTTATCAGAAACCTGTTCGCTGGTTTCAGTGCAGGAATGGGGAGTTTCAGAAACACTATGTTCACAAGTGTTATGTTGGTTTTCCTTATTAGTTTTGTCCATATTCATTCAGCCTGCCTCGTCTGCGTCTTGGTGGTTGTGTTCCACAGTGTGGCTGTGGGTGTAGAAGCCTCACGCTCTGCTCCTCCCTCTGCTTTAGAAACACCTCAGTCTGACTGTGAGGAACCAACACTAAAACCTTTGAATTTTTAAAGAACTGAAACATTTTCTGCTCCCAAATTGGTGGAAATGTCTGGATGTGATATCTCATCATGTTCTTTATATTGAAGCATCATGTGATCAAACAACAACATGGACTCTTGTTTCACATTTTACAAATAAAAACCTTAAAAGGCACTGACTGAAACTGTCTACAGCTGCTAATTAAAATGGACAAACAGAGCGTCTCCATCTCCTCAGTCCTTCAGTCAGGAGTCACCGGTCTGTAAAACAAAGGGGTAAGTTATTAGAACTTAGCTTTTTTTAATGGAGGTTTGTCAAAGTGAAAACTGGAGGGAGATGAACGGACAGTTTGGGTCAGACTTCACAGCACTGTGAGTGCACCAACGTGCACAAAGTTAGCAGGGCACCTTGTGGTAAAGTGGAGCTGGATTATGGGTCGTAGTCATATCTGTGTTTGTCTCTGTTTAAACCTTTGAATAACTGTGTTTCACTGAACTCTGAGCCTTCGATGAGCCCTTTTATTGTGATAGTGTTGTGCTAACCCGGTGTGTGCAGCATGGCTGAGATCACGCACACAAACGGTGACGACAGTGTAAAGTGAGGCTCTATCAGTCTGACGTACCTGTAGATGATCTGAGAATAGATGGAGTCTTCTGGTGAAGCTGACCTGGTGCCTGGCCTGGACCTCTCTGTTTGGGGCAACACAGACACTCGTTTCTCTGATTCACATGAGTTTGAGGATTTACTGTCTGATTTTTCTGATTTCTTTTAAAGCGCTGTTTAGTTTGATGCATCGTTTCATGTAGCATTTTTGTCATCTGGTGCCGTTTGTTTAGGTTGTTAAACACTCTGTATAACTACTTTTTAAAGGTGATACTCAGAAACAAAAGAGAATTATGTTTTCTATCATACTGTTGTGACTTTAAGCTGCCGTGCCTCTGTCAGACCTCACAGTCTCATGCACTATTAACAGCTAAATAGGCGCAGCGTGTGACCCTCTGTTCAACCTAGTGGTTTTGTCGTGTGGTTTTTAACTGAGGATCAAATTAGCACCAAAGGAAACCGTGTTCTGCAGACAGATATCTGAAATACTTCAGTAATGCTTCTGAGTGTGTGTGTGTGTGTGTGTGTGTGTGTGTGTACATGTAATACTTATTTTTAAAACTGTTACTAAACAACAAAACAATGTTGGTTGTTATCTGATGCTTCAGGAAAGTAATCAGACAAACGTGATGTAGAAGTCATTAAAACTACCTTTCTTCTTCATGTGTGAGTTAACAGCTGCATATGTCCCATCATCTGGATCAAATGTGTTTCCACCGCCTGACCCTGAAACATAAAAACCAAACTGGTTAAACTGGTTGTAAACCTACGGTACATGTGCACGTAACCTGCCAGTAAAAGGTTTAGACATAGTTCCTCGTTGATCTGAAGAGGAAAGTATTTAAACATTTGACCGGCAGTGGACATCATTATAAATAGCTCTAAACATTATTTATTATCCATGTTTCTAATAAATGGTGGCACAGAAATGGAAAGAAAAGCAGTGTACCTTTCTTCTTGCTGTGTTTTTTGACAACAGCGTACGTGGCATGTCGTGGCTCAGCGACACCGTTCTCTCCTGGGACTGAAACAGAGTGAAACACATGAGCTGCAGAGTCTTTTGTCCCAGCAGTCACATTCCCACTGTCGCTAAAAGCCGAGGTGTGGCGAGTTTACACGGGAAAGGCGCTCGGGAATCTACTGACTGCTCTAACATCTGTGATGACACCACACCAGTGCGCTCTGCGTTGGCTTTCCTCACCTACATGACCCTCTCATGCTTGTGGTCCTGCTGTGGATTCGCCTGATGAAAAGCAGGTCAACACTGCAGCACAGCAGAACAGACATGAACTGGGATAAAGGTGGAATTAATGGCAGAGAGAACGTCCTAGTGCTGGTCCTCAAGGAACCAGCACACCTGTAGGAACTTCTGCTTAGAGACGTCCCAAAACCAAACAGGGTTCTTTGTGTTTTTATGGAATCTGCACCAAACCTACTTGTCATGTACTGCAGAGTTTCACTCAGGTTGTTTTCTGTACCTTTGGCTTTCTGATAGTGGAGGAGTCCCATCAGCAGCAACAGAACCAACAACAAAACACCGAGGAGAGGCCACAGCAGGCTGAGATGACGGGAGCGGCTGGGGGGAGGACGAGCCTCTTCATGGGGTGCTGAAAAGTCTAAAAAGGTAAGTAGCATTATGATGCACTGTGGTGGTCCTGATGCGTTTTCACTTAAACTTCACAAATCACTGGTGACTGGCTTGACAAAAGCAGACGTGAAACATCATCTGCAGCCTGTGGTCTCACCTGTGACAGCCAGCCTGCTCTCTGGTGACTCTCCAGCTCCAGGCATAATGCACTTGTAGAGGCCTTCGTGTGAGGTGGAGACGTTGAGGATGGTCACCTCTCCTTTGTAGCCCATCTCAAAATGAAGGCCGTCCTTGAAGAATTCAGATATGTGGCCTGAGGAAGTTCTCTTTTTACAGCGCAGAGTCACAGGGACTCCCTCCATCACAGGATGAGCTGGTGTTTCCAGGATCACAGAGCCACCTAGACGTCCAAGGACAAGGCATGGGGAAGACGCTTGGGCTGAATTAGTGAGGCCCCCCATCTAACAGCAAGGTAAAGCTGGAGGTTCACAGCTTGTGGGTTCATTTTGTGTCTGTCTGTAACCTCAGTGCTTCATTTGGACTTAAGCTGCTGTATTTTAACACTGCTCTGATTTTGTAGCTTATAGAATGTGAAAACATCTCGTGGAGGTGTTTGCTGGCTGTAGATGAGGCCTCTGGACACTGTGATTGTCCTGCAGTCTGATCAATTTGAGTTTCCTGTCCTACACTGTTCTGTACAACGTTATTAAAGAGTATTGTACATAGAAATAGATTTCATCCTCCTGAAGCCAAAATGGACTTAGGGTCAACAGTGGAAATGATCATTTGGGCTGTGAGTGTTTTGGCTCAAGGAAGGTTAGGGTGACACAGTGGTGCAGTGGTTAGCTCTGCTGTCTCACAGCAAGACGGTTTTGGGTTCGAACCTGACAGCCGACCAAGGCCTTTCTGTGTGGCTCATAATGTACGCTGTACAAAGGTTTTTGGGAGGTTCTATATTATGAACCTAAAACCTTTAACTTTAGCATTTGGGTCAGTAAGCATCATGAAATGGTCTAAAGTCAAAATGACACTTTCATTTCTCTGTGAATTGTCACCAAAAGCATCAGAATCCAAAGTGTGATGTAGTAGTTGGTCTGTCAATGGAAACTAGTACAAACAAAATGTGACATGTACCATTTCTGAAATGCTTAACACCGTCCATGTGAGATGAGTCAAACTTACTGTCACATTAAAATGTTTTAATCAGTTTTGGTTTATTTGCAACACATACCAGTGACAGTGATGTTGATCGCGTTGCTTCTCCCTCCCTCTTCACTTTCACACCAGTATTCCCCACTGTCTCTCTCAAAGGCAGGATAAATGGTGTGGGCTGGTGCTGACATGTTCCACTCCGAAGAATTGGTCTGAATTATTTTCCTGAGCTTCCTCATTACTGTCCAGTCAGTGAAGCCGTCAGTGTCCTCACACCGTATAGAAATAGATTCGTACTCAAAGAACTGAAGTCGGTCTGGAGCGATGTGAGGGAAAGCTGCATCTGAGACAGAGACAGAAGGCAACTCACAAATGCTCTGCACAGTATTTGCTTTGTACAGAAACAACATTAACAGTATAGAAATGAATGAACGTTGAGGTTCTTCTTTTTTCAGTGCCACGTGAAGCAGCAGGGCAACATAAGGGGCTCTGCTGGTTTCCATAGAACTGTGGGTGCAGCTGAAGTTATTGTTGCTCCTTAAACACTTCTGACAGTATTTCTTTGGTTTATTTTGTAACATGCAAACAAAAGGCGGCATCTCAGCAGTGAAGACAGATGTCAGCAGTAAGTCTTAGGGACGTCAGCCCAGCAGCTAACTAGTTAACAGTTGAACTCACCGGGTGTCTGAGCAGAGTAGCTGTGGTCCTCTTGTGCAAGCAGCAGGATAAACGCACTCATCACTGCAGGTACAAATGAAAAGAGCTGCTCATCTGTTCCTCTGATAGTATGAAGCTGTGCCTGCTGACTACAGGGTTAACTGGTTGATGGGTTGTTAGTACTCACACAGTCTGTAGAGAGCTGTGTCCTCCATGATGTCCTGCTGCCGAGTGTCTCAGCATCAGGCTGATGAGCTGCTAACACAGGTCAGAGCCTCCTCTTCCTGTTTCACTTATTTCTGGTGTTGATGCAGCAGCAGGTTTGAATTGCAGCTCTAGAAATATCTGTGAGCTCCTATAGCACAAAATCTACATTAGGGTTTAATGTTTGTTAATGTTAATGTTGTTTGACCCTTTCATTCACTCAGACTTTCTCTCTGCAAACCTTTGAGGCCACAGCATCACACTAGTCACAGCTCAGACAGCCACTAGGTGTTTTTCAGTTATTGTAAATGTAAACATAGTGTCTTTATAGGTGTTTTCAGAAATGACCATGGTCATAATTTACACCAGAATCTCAAAACGAACTCGTGTGCAGTCTCACAAACACATTTTTTCCAAATCCAGCTTGGTGCAGAGTCAGTGTTTTGGCAGTGAGACTACAGATCGTGGAGGGCACTGAGCTTGTGACCGGTGGTGGAATGAGCTGTGTATAGATGACGGTAGGACGGAGGCAGCACACACGGTGGAAATCTGGCCAGTACTGATCCTCCATGCTGCAGGAGTCAGTACTTTGGCTCCTTCCCCTTTGTATCTCTGTTTGAAAACCTGAAAGTCCTGCACTGCCCCCTGCTGCCAGTCAGCCACATCTCAGTTGTTAGTGCTCAGAATTATTATCCCAAGAACACACCCTTTGATTACAGCTGACCAGTGTGAAAGTACACTAGGTTTTATTGGTGTGCTTGTACTGTGCACTCAGAGAGGAACTGGCTCCTTGACACACCTGACAGGTAAGTTTTGAGAAAATGCAGTTATTTAAGTTTGAGGTTTTAATTGCAAAACACCACCTTTGTGACGCGGAAACAGGTCTGTCATGATTAGTGCATGTGTTTTCACAGCAATGGATGGATAGATAAATTCAGCTGTCCAGTAGCAACACCAGTATTTACCCAAATCACTGCACCTAAAGTATAAAAGTGTAAGACAAATACAAGGAAAAAGCATTTTAAACATATGATACGTATCAAAAAAAGGGTACAGGAAGTGTATATACATATGTAGTAACACATCAGGTTTACATCTTAACGTGTGCCAGGGTCACGGTTAGCCACAGTGAGATGCCACATTTGGACTTACAGTAAAATATTTTGCACATTGTGCTTTGAAATAGTGGTAAACACAGACTTCAGAGGAAAACATGAACCTTTTACGATTGAAATAATCTACATTTTGTGTTTGAATAATTATGAAATTTATTTAAGCCATTTTTTTGTACAAGTTAATCAAATAAAGCATCAAGGAAAAAACGACAGGAGAAACCGGACCTTAACCACCTAGTTATTTATTACCTATCTGCTAGAAGTTGGGCTGAAATTTACCCAGAATGCAAATCCTGCCATCTATTGGTTGATCTGTGTGAGGGTCCCAGTGTAGTCACACGATAATTCATTATTTCATACAGCCTAACCCTAAAATGATTTTTAAAAATATATGGATTCATAAAAAATGTATATGTTTGGGTTTAATTTTTCAGAAGTTCAAGATGCCTCCACCAAAGGATGGTCTGAACCTGAGCAGTGAGTATTTTAGTAAATACACTTTGTTTCAGTGTTATATGTCATAAAACAACTTCTGAACTAAGTTTGGTCTAAAATCACTGACAGAGCTGTAATAAGGTCTGAGTGTAATGTTTTAGCCAGAGGACGGTCACAACAAACAGTTTGATGTTTCCTCGCTCTTTTATATGATGTCATCTTGTCAAGGCTTATTGTAGTTTAACATTTCTCTTTTTGTTCACTTTTATTTGCTGCCATCCCACCAGCCACTGAACCAGCTACACTGGACTTTTCCAGTTTTGCTTCCAGCTCCTGTGTACCCTTGGCCTTGACTTGTGGCGTAGCTGTCCTGGTTGTGGCTGTTATTGTAGTTGTTGCTGTTGTGTGTAAATGTAAACGTAAGTCACAGCTTGTTCATATTCATACTATAGGTAGCATAACCTTCACAAAATAAAAATGACTGTTTTAATCTTATCTTTCTTTTCTTTTCACAAAAAGGAGACAAGACTCAGTTGAAGAAGAAAAATGCACGGCTTCAGGGTGAAAAAGAGGAAATTCAGGGCTCGGTTAAAACCCTGAAGGAACTGGAGAACCAGAGAGACCAAGTCAAGCTGGAACTGGAGAACCTTAGAGATGAACTTAAAGTGAAACTGGAAGAGGTAGAGAGAGAGAAGGAGAAGAACAAGGAGGAGCTTTCCCTGGTGGAGACAGAACTGACTGAAAAGCAGATGGCATATGAAAAACCAGAAGAATTGTTGCGACAGAAGGAGAAACTATTGCAAGACCAGTGGAAACTGGACCAGACAAAGAAAGATAATGAGAAGCTTCTGTTGGACATGGAGAGACTGTTGGAGTCAATAGAGATTCAGGTTACTAGAAACACAGATGTTCATATTTACATGGACTAAAGAGACAGATCGGGGGGAAATAATCAAACATATTCAAGCTACTGAGTATTTACAGGGACTAAAGAGACAGATCAGGGGAAAATAATCAAACATATTCAAGCTACTGAAAATTCTGATAAATCCAATAGATGACTGGATAAGATTCACAATATAAGGGTGGACAGCCTTAAATGAAAGCTACATTTGAGTCACTGCCTGCTACTGGGACCTTTTGTAACTCAATGAGGTTACTAACGAGGATTTATCCCTCGATGTAGCGGAATGAGAACAGTACGACATCTGTAATAGATCAGGTTTAATAAGCTTCACTCAAGGTGAAATGTGACGAAGATGTGATTTTTGGAAGCATCTGATTGTCCTAACAGGTCTGAAATCAATAAGCTGAGCTGCTTTCATGACTGTGATTTTGTTACAGATGTGTTTTATAATGTCACCATCGTTTTATCCAGATTGGCTGAATGATCAGAAAATGAAAAATAAAATCAAACTGAGAACTTGGTACCAGTGTGGACGGTGGAATCTGACCACAGCTTCAGTTCTACATAGAGTTTTCATTGTTCTTTGTCAAAGAGGTAAATGCTTGCAACAAGCAGAGGTTTCATCATCTAGTACTTCTCCAGACAGGTCAGATTGTATTAGAGGAACAGATCATGTTGACAAAGAAATAAAAGAAGCAGACACACCATTAAATATAATGTGTGTTAAGACATTTCTAAAGATTTATTTAGTAAACTTTGAAAGGTTATGTCACAGGTTCAAAGAGCGACAACAGCAAACGTGTCATCACCCTGACCTTGAATGGCCTCAGGTCCCCACTGTGCCGCCCTTGGAACACAGAGGAACCTGACCACACGGTTTCTTCCATGTCAGGAGTAAAGTTTTTAGGTCAGTTCTGAGTTGGTCTCGGTGAAAAGAAGCTAAAACTGGAACAATCTCAATGTTACGTTCATGTAAAAGCTGTAACAGACTGGTGGGAAATCACAAACTGAACACACCCCACCTGATTACAGGTGACTGGGGTTAATAAATAAGTTTTTATGTGAGGACTTCGACCAGGTAAGGTGGCTTCAGTGCACGAACAGCAGCAGGTAAGCCAGTTGTGGACGTTACATCTCTCTACATTACTCATTATTGGTGTATCCATCTCTGTAATTTAGAACATTTCTGACTTGACCAAACAACTTAGAGCCACATTTTTGCAACAGTGAGCACGCTGTACATTACATCAGTACATTACCATGCCTGGAGTTTTAGTACGAGAGTTTTTTAATGTAAGTGTCATGTTGTTTTGTGTTCCAGCTGAATCTGGAACATCTACTGCAGGTGGACCTACTGTATTATGATTGTCATGCATTACAGCTTTCTGCGTTGCGTTGTTACTGTCCTGGCTTTGTGCACATGGAAATGTAAGTCACAGCTCCTGATGGGTTTGGTGATATGAAGATTTTCATTACAAACACAACTCTTAAAAATGTACCCAGCTTTTCATTGTTCAAAACGATGATGTTGTGTGTTTGTGTCCTGATCAGTTTAATCCAATGTCCAACTAGATGAGAAAATGGACCATGATGAGATAAAACCGTTCGTCCAAAAACGGTCACAGAAGGAAGAGAAGAAGGAGGGAAATGTGTTGATGGAGCAGAAGGATGCGGAGAAACAGACAGATAAACCACCACTCGGGGAGGTGAGAGAGAGGAAAGGAAATGCTGCCGGCTCTAGAGGGTGAAGCAGAGAAACACCTTGTACCTATAACATGGTTCTACGTTCTCCTTCCTTGTCCAGACCTGGCAGCTACATTACACTCATCCTTATTTTGGGAAAAGTTTCATATTTGTTTTGGACCATTGTGAATATAACGTTTTAAAAATCTAGCATTTCTTGTCATTTTAATATTTTACAAAATATTTCATGTTTATTTAGATTGTTATAACAGTTTTTACTTTTGTGTAAATAACATTTTCATCTGTACTTTCTTTTCAATCTGATTTATTTCATTTTTCAGGATTCCACAAAGCTGAACTCGAAGGATGAACTGATGTTTATACCTGCGTTCTCTTCCGTAAGCGGGTCAGTTCCACTGGAGACTGTTTTCGTCCTTCTCCTTATACACACCTGTGGAGGTAATGACACACTTGTGATGACTGGTTGTATAGAAACTGCTGCAGTAAATCATTAAGGCTGGAACATGATAAGTTCTTTACATTTGTAAATCTGGCCCCTGTCACTGTACCATTGTGTCCTGTATGCTGTTGCTGTGGTGGAACAGCACTTCTGACTTTCTAACTTGATTTGTGCTCAAACATGAACTCTAAAGATATTTTTCTGTGACAGGAAACAACATTTTCTTTAATAGAAGTGCTCCCTGTAAATGTTCCATTGCTCTGCTCTGGTTTCAGCCAATGCTGTCGCATCCATTTCCACCGTGACTTGCCACTCATGCTTGGTGGTTGGCCTCATCGACTTGGCTGTCTTTGTTATTTATAAATGGAGACGTAAGTCACAGTTCTGTGATGTTTAGTGATATGTAGTGTGTTTCACTTGTAGTAATGACATTATGAAAAGTATTTCATCATGTTTTAATTAAAAATGAGCCCTGGTTTCATGAGGTTCATTTTTTTTCTCATATCTCTAACATGTGAACTTTATTAGTGACTGACATGTAGTTGTTGTTGTGTGTAAACGTAAACGTAAGTCATAGCTTCTTCATATTCATACCGTATATAGCATAACCTTCACAAAATAAAAATGACTAACTGTTTTAATCTTATCTTCTTTTTTTCACAAAAAGGTGACAACTCTGAGTTGAAGAAAGATGCACGGCTTCAGGGTGAGAAACAGGAAATTCAGGGCTCGGTTAAAACACTGACGGAACTAGAGAACCAGAGATCAAATCAAGCTGTATTGTTATGACCGATGTTTAAATGAGTTTTTCTCATATCTCTAACATGTTGAACATTATTAGGAAAGTCATTGTCAAATGAATCAGCAGGACACGTCTCAGGGTGACTGCCGTGTCTGATCATTACATTTTCTCCATGTTACTCCACAAAAGGTGAGAAAACAGAGTTGCTGAAGGAAAATGCACAACTTCAGGAGGAGTTGGTGCAGAAGGTGAGAGAGCAAGAAGACGTGGTCTCCACCCTGATGGAGGTGAAGGCGGAGCTGGAGAAGCAGAGAGGTCAACTCCATGTGCAGCTGGACGAGGTGGAGACGGGGAGGGAGGAGAACAAGCAGAAGCTTCAGTCGGTGGAGAAGGAACTAACGGAGAGAGCCGTGACCTTTGACAAACCGGAGGAATTATTAAGAGACAAAGAAAACCTGTTACAAGCCCAGTGGAAACTGGACCAGACAAAGAAATATCATGAGGAACAGCTACTGAATACTGAGAGGCTGCTGGAGCCAATAGAGATTCAGATGGAAAGATCACATAGAGTGAAGGGAGCAGACATGTAAAATAGACTTTAGGTAGAATAGTAAGATGGAAAACAGAGGAAAGTTGAGAAGACTAATGGCCCAAAAGGGTGTAGAGTTGAATTAAAGCTGGATAAGAATAATTAAAACTGAGTGCAGCTTAAAGTTTTACTTAAGTGTGGCACTGTGAATTTCTGACTTGTTTGACAAAATCTATGGAAGAAAAAATGTTTTTTAAGTATTATCAAATATTAAAGCTACACTATGTAACTTTTTCACATATTCTTGTAGAAATCTGCTCCAGAACTTGTCTTAATGTGGGGAGGAGCTGTCGAAGCCTCCCGTGACCCAGAATAAAGACCAGGGCTGGCAGCAGTGCAGAGATATCAGCTTCTAAAGCTTTTGAACGGGACTGACCTCTCTGACCAGTCAGTTTCAATTATTTCTGCTTGATCAGTGAGTTTTGTTGCATTGTCATTTATTGCAATTTCATAATTACAAACATCTGAAGGGATGGGCGGTGTTAGGGTGATTTTCATTTTTAGATAGAAATGAATAATTAGTTAGGGTTTTTATTATATAGCATATATAAGTTTATATATTTT